TTATCATCATATAACCGTTAACTCTTATGTAATTAATATTGTATTTAAATGAATGTTTTTGTTTCTAATAATTTAATGTTATTGTATTTATATAATTTGTCAATGTATGTACACCTAAATAATTTTTTTTAACTTTTAAATACATAAATATATTTAATATATTTATTTAATATAATAATTAATATTATTAGTTATAATTTTTTTTAAAATATAATAATAATTCCACCTTCTAAGTAGAGAAAAATATTAAATTAAACAAATTAAAAGTTATTAAAAAATTTATGTATACGATGACACATTTCATGTTCTGATTGGAGGATTAAATTTATTAAATTAAATTTTCAATAAGACTAATTTTATAAAATATGTAAGTCTTGAAGATTAAATATGTAATTATACTAATTTATTAACTTATGCATCAATATTTTCGTTAAATATTGATATGAGATGACTAGATTGATAACATTTAAATAATTAACTGATAAAATTAATAGATCGATAATCAAAATAAAAAATAATAATATAACCATATGTGTAATATTATAATTTCATACATTTTTCCTATAACTACAATAAAGTCAAAACTGATTTTCATATATTGTTATATCATATTAATGTAGATAATTCACTCCATCTTTAACACACATTAACAAAATACATTTGATAATTCTTACATTATAATCGAAACATTTTACATAATATATTATTAATTTATAATAATAATAAAAATAAACTATTTATTATTAAACAAAATACGTGTCTGCTAAGTTGGCAAATGCGCGTCCCCGGGGATGCGCCTTCCACACGTGGCATCCAACTCAGCGAAAACACGGGTAAAGCGCGTCCCCGGGGACGCGTCTTTGCCAATTCAGCAGAAAGGGTGCTACTTCTGGAAATATTGATCAAACGGTGTCAGAAAGAGAAAATTAAAAAAAAAAAACGGTGTCAGTTATGTCAAATAGCCTTTGCCGACCTGATTCAAACATGGATTCCTCTTTGCACAAGTCAGGGGTAAACTAGACGTATGACCACCTAATTATATCCCCTTTTCATTTTGATCATTGTTTTTGAAATTTTGTCAATCAGGTCACGTGACTATTTAAAGGCATTCAATTAAGCCACTATTTGTTAGCACTTAACGGATAAGGTAACGTGACGGTTAAATATTTTAGTATAATTACACATTTAGTCTTTATTACTTGTATATTCTATCAATTTATGAAACACCCTAAATCGAAATGGGGCCTAAAGTACCACATTGAGTTACCAAGGCAACCTCCGATTTTCAAAAACTGTTCATTTTCATTTCAAAACATACTGAATGATACCAAATTAGATATACATGATAGTTATAAAAATATTTTAATTAAACCGGAGCTCCGTGACACACAGTTTAAATCAAATAATACAACTCAAAGTTTGATAATTAAAAACATAAGGTTCTGTAAATACTCATGTCCATTAAAGCTACAATACAATATTTTAGGAGAGATGTTGGAAGTTCTGCTGCAACAGTGCTCCACGAACAACTCAAGTTAATAACTTGCGAACATAAAACATCTAAATGCCGAGCTTACAAAGCCCAACAGTATAATCGCTAATCTAGAGCATCATTAAGATTCTAATAAATACAAGCACGCTAAAGACATAATACTAAGCAGTAGATGTATGAATACTCATATTTAAGTACTACATACTTAAGGTTCAACTATTTTGTCACTAAAGTAAGAGTCTCATGTTTCCCTTAATCTTTTACTAAGGGTCTCGTCATGAGTATACTTTTATTGGGTCTTTAACCACAATGACATTTGTGAATTATCTAAATTGCAATATATATATATATATAGTTTTCCTATAACTTGATCTCTGGTCATTGGAACTAAGAATCCAATATCCTATTAGCAAATCACGTAACTGTTGCTGATATTTAATCAATATACATTTGATACGAGTACACAAAAATGAATATTGATAACAGTGAACAAAAAATAAAATCAGACTATAAATTTATATATGAAACTAAAACAACACATGCTTTGTTAGATTTCAACTTTCGAAACCAACGCCATCAACTAGATGGGTTTTCCATTAACATTATTATCAATTTTACTCGATATCAATCATTAAAGGATTAGATTACTCAGTTCCATAGTTCAAGGATTAAATTGTACTTAAAGTATATTATACAAGGACTGTCAAAATACCTTTTGAGCCTTTGTACGACAATTAGCTTAGAAATTATGGTGGTTTTAACTCTTAGCATGCTTGCCTATGACAACCTAAAATTGAAGTAGATAATGGCCAGTGTCAACTATTGCTGAAACTGTTGGGGTCACATTAAAATTCAAGCAACTGGTAGCCTGCAGGATATCAGCATGAAAAAGTATCACTTGGTCTTTTCATACAAAACCAGATCGATGCTAAGAGAGTATGCAAAAGTTTTCACACGATACATAAAGCTCGAATGACCAAAATTAAATGTAGCATGAATCTCCACCCTAAGCTCAAGCCGTTCATCCCGGTATCCTAAACAAGTTTGACCGAACATTCTGGTTACAGTGTAGTATTATGATGCATACCAGATCATAGGGCAAAAAATGGATGCATTGTGCGCACTAGAGATATACTTCGTTGCATCCTCTGCTTGACATCACTAATACGAAACATAAGCTAAAGGTAAATGGAAATTAGTGCTAGCCTGACAGGCATCGAGAAAATAATTAATCCTTCATTTGGTAGGGAGGATGGAGAAAGAAACAGGATGACATTTTTTTAAACATTTTCTATTTTGTACTTCAACATTTGGATTATCCTCTTTAACCCTTCCTTTATATTCTCCGTCCTTCGTACCAAATGGAGTGTAAAGGTATCTTATGCCACTTACCTTAGTTCCCACGTAAAATGTCAGAAGCATAAAACCCAAGACACGCAGTCCTGAAAACAGGGTACACCATTAATCAGACAACTACAACGTAAATATGACGGATAACGCAGGGCGATAGGTACTTCCATACCTTCTTTGTTGAGGAACTGAGAAATCAACCAACTAAAGCCTGATGGACCAATAACATAGCCAACAAGGTTAGCGACCTGCACGAAGACATATTTCATCATGATTTTTGCTTATTTTCCAAAGAATAAGGTTCTATTTGGCGCTTTTGTCATTTGCTTTCTGTGGTTGGAAGCATGCAAGGAAAAGAAGCGAAATAACTTTTTGAAGGATTATATATGAAATATGTACTTCTACTAAATGAAATATGTACTTCTACTAAATGAAATATGGACTAATTTATCAATTTTTCAATAGAAGCCTAAAATAAAGTCCCATAATATAGTACAAATACTGCTATGGTGTTTTTACCATTTATGATGGGTCCTAATGGTTTTCACCTTGATTTCACTTTAATGCGTTAATATCCCTCTAATAAAATTATTTAACACGGACCAACTTACCTTAGTGATTAAAGAACATTGTTGTTGTTCCTAGAGGTCATGGGCTCGAGAATGAGAGTATTTAAAACATATTGAATTTCCCTGATCCTGCCGAGCCAGAATAAATAGGCCAACTAATTAGAAAAACAAAAAGAATACATTACCAACTAATGCTAATTCGCAATGCAACTGGTTTTAATCGATAACTCATTCACAAAGGATCAGATGAGTAGTAGTACAGATCAAAGCCGACCATCTACATCCCTCTTTATGATCAATATAATCAATAGCTCCTTTAGAGGAGAAAAACATGGTTAAATATGCAGAACCTGTGAAGTTGGCCGGCAAGTGCAACCTAAAAAGAAGTTTAATATCAGTAAAAACTAGTGTACCAGGTTGGAACGGTGCATGCATGGTTGGAGATGTAAAAGGTTGTTGCACTTGCACAGTCTGATTATGACAGTTGCCCATCTTCTTGTTTGCAGAAAATGCTGCCATAGGGTTGGATAAAAGTTCCAACCTCTAAGCCTTAATTACAACTCTTAACAACCTAATAAATTAAATTAGAATTTGATCCTATCTCGCCCAGTTTTAAGAATGTTAAATATCACAAAATCTCACGACTGAAGTAGAAATCGATGTTCAAATTAAGTTTAGGGTTTCAGAGATTACCTTTCAATTTGCAGCTCCATCGGAAACTTGGATCATGGAACGGAGGAGGAGGAAGAGAAAGATGAAACTGGGACGGAGCGGTGGTGAGAGGCGTACTATTTGGCAACGAGAGCAGTTGGGGAATTTTTACAGCACAAAAATGTCATTTTACTGTATTAAAATGTTTATAAACACTGTAATATCATAATAAAATATAAAATATAATAATTATTTTATGGGGTTATATTTTGATAAAATTAATTTATAAAACTATTTAAGAATATAATAAAACTCAACAGGAGTTGATTTCTCTTTATTCTTAAAGTACATCACGTGATAAAAAATTACTTCAAAATGCAATACTTGATTTTTCTTTAAATAGTAGATTTAGTTAATTGTTGTCATCAATGGCATTACTCACTAGCATATGGTCTAACATTGTATTAGTGACGTATTTAGTGTATCATTTCAAATTTAGCATCATATTTTATTCAATCGCTTACTTAAGACATGAACTATAATTATACCCACTCCCATTAATCATAGACTGCCTGTCCAGACAAACACTTTATAATATCTAACACTATAATATAATAATTTAATAATGTTCCTTGTATATTTAAATAAATTTTGAAGATCAAAACTCAAAAATATAAAACGAAAGAAACATAAATCAGCAAAATAGGAAATATGCATTAATTAAGTTATTAAAATGACAAAGCAAAGTACAGACCCCCTTGACTCTTATAAACAACTATTAAGCAGTGTCTAAATATTATAACCAAAAAACACATTTAATTCATTATATTGATATGAGTGAATATTGGTTTACCATTTTCCATTAAAAACATGTATTTAACCACACAACCAAACATCCAATTCATCGGCAGAGTCGAGGACAGGCAAAAGAACAACTGCTAAAAAGTGATTTTAAGACAAAATTAAGTGAAACACCAAGCATTCTGCATTTCTCAAGTAACTCCTGCTGACCTACGGAAAGACATCCCATATATGGTTTCTAACTTTCTATAACTTGTCAATTCCGCTTGAAATGGCATAAGATTAACCCTAGAACAGCCTGCGAACACAAAAATGGAAATACATAAGAGTTACTTGATTCGACAAAAAGATGATAGAGGTCCAAGACTCCTTTCAAGACGCCAAAAGTTTCGCTTGTCTTCAATAAAAATAACCTCGGCATTTCGCCGATCCACATAAGCATTTCTTCTTTCCATAGTCCACGTTGTTACTTTCCTTCTCATCGGAGAACGGAATGCCGTAATCGTATGTCAGCTCTGTCATTGGAGGGATGTGCCTCTTAGCAAAGAAAGCAATATGGAGGAGAACTTCATTGTTATATTCATACATGACTGGCTGCCAGAAAACATTTGGTGAGCAACTGTGATTCATGAACCGAGCTACATTTCCACTGTTCTTCGAACTTATGACTAGGGGAGATGGAATATCATAATCTTCGGAAGTGTTGGAACTTCCCTCTCCTACTATCTCGGCTTCATAATTCCACTTGAAGGGTTCATAGACTCTATTTGTATGAAAAGCATACTCGTTGCTTTCGACATCTCCCCCATCCGGCTTTGCATCAGTGTTGTCAACAACTTCACCTGCATATTCACAAATAAAAGAACCGGCACGAATAGGGTCCCATGATCGCAGACCCCAACCCCTATCTCTTGTCTTAAAAACTTCGAAGTGAACCTTAAAACCAGTCTGTGTAACTCTATTTTTGCAGTTCTGAAGGCACGGGCATGAGGAACCACATTCATATATCAAGGGTTTTCGACACACTAGATTCCCGTAGGAAGTGTAAGGTAAATAACCTCCATTTTTCTTAAAGCAGGTGCAGATTGAATTTCCTGGTTGGCACACATCACAACAACTGCAGCAGAAAGAAGGTTGCAATAATTTGAATGATTTTGGATATTTGATAGTAGATAAATACGTGAAATGGGCGGGCCCCTTTTCATCGTCAACCTCGTTCACGAGTGAAACAGGTGTGCTTTCCGTACCGGAAGTGAGGTCAGGAAGAATAAGTCCATCCCTTGGAGACAGACATTCCTTCCATTTCTGAATCATTTTCCAAGTTGCAAAAGCACCTCTTTGCCCAGGGATCCTTACCAGTTTATACTTGAACATATTACAGCCCGTTTTCCCCTTCTCCATCCACGACTCTTGGACTTTGTAAATCCCATCGTATACATAGACCTTAGATGCTTGGTGGGCAGAATCCTGAAAACCTCGAATGACTCTTACTTCATTGGCTCGGTGCAAGCTCCTTTCCAAAGCAAGATTGCCCCTCACAAGCTTCTGATCGGATGCTCCTTTATCACCACTGGCATTCCCACCATGACCGGTGTATACCAAAACATCAGGATCTTTGACATCATCATCATACCCTCCAGCTGAAACGATGCTCACAGCCACTCGCTCCCCCTCTAAATCACCCTTCATAGGCATGGGGTCAATCCCAGCCATGGTCTGAGCATGCAACCCCACTAAACACAACTCCAACCGGAAGAAGAAAATGTCCCCAATTTCAACACCAGGAACGACCCCAATTCTCTTTACCGCATTAGTCCGCACCCCATTGCTCATCATTATGTTGCTAGCTTTTAAGACCGAGTGCTTAATAATCCCAGAATGCGATTGAGACGCATCCTCCATTTGGCTAAGCTTTCTCCTAAGCGCATCAAACCTCGAAAGCACATTTTCAACCAATTCCCTGTTACCGTTATCACGCTCAGATAAACTAATTCCGGGATTGAAATCAGTAGGAGCAGTGAACGCAAACTCAAAAACTTTCCTCTTCTTCGCTTTCTTTTTAATAGAACTCGACCCAGATGGCTTCTCTTTATGCACATTTTGGCAGTTAGAATCTATCGGTTCCGCTCTAAATGACCGAATTGGCACAGCAGTTGAACAGAACTCGTGTCGGTTAAGACCAGGTGTCGACTGGGATCCTTGTGGTCCGCTAAAGGGGGGAAAGGGTGAAAACCCAGACGGAAAAGGGCCATTAGGAGGTGCACAAAAGAAAGGGGGACCGTTAGATGCATCCGGAAACTGGGGAACCAAAAAACGTATCGGTTTTACATCCAAAACCCTAGATTTATCGCCTAAGTTCGGTAGAACAGTGTTTATACCCGTCCCTTCTTCCATTACAAACAAAATTTGAAGCCTTTTTCAACCAAAATTTTCCCTTTGCACAAAACCCAGTGATATCCACTCCTGTGAACCAAATTACACAAAATTCAGACTCGTTCCTTCAAAACCAGGAAATACCCACTTCATTTTTCTCCATCCTTACTTGTTTATGCCCAAAACAATGGCCTACATGAAACCACATTATACAAAAACTACACCCTTTAGAACCAAAAAAAAATACTTTTTTTTTCTGAACCAATCGATACTCAATTCATTTTTCTCTACCCATGACTTTGCTATGTAGGAAACAAAAAGTAACACAAATACTAGAAATAACCAGAAAAACACAGTGTAAAAATAGACACAAAGAGATTAGGGTTATGTTGCATACAAGGAAAAAGAAAGGGATGATTATATTTCAAATTAACCTAAAGAAAAGAGACGATTACCTGTCGAAACGAAGCTGTGAAGTTTTTGTAAAAGTTATTCGAGTTCGAAGAGGGTCTTTTTTGTTTTTCCGCAGTTCTATCGCCAGATTTAAGACAATGACTTATTTTCAATTTTTTCTACTCTATTTGTGAGACAAATTACACACACATATATATATATATCCACATTGTAACAAAATACTTTAGGTAAAAGTCAAAATTGATAATTTATCAAATGTTAGACATTATTTTATCTTAAGATTAAACAATATAGTTATAAATATTTTTTTAATAGAATTAAAGTTTTTAAAAAACTAAAAATTAAAATAATTATTTAAATAAATGTTAGAGATTAATTCCGAAATTATATCTGAAATTTATGCGTTTACTGAAAGTTGAATTAACTTGTCATATTACATAAAGTATGAAAACAAACTTCCAACATATTAAATTAGAGGAATTAATTTTTATTTTTCATAAAGTAAAAGGATGAAAATAATAATTAGACCAGATTTTAATTACTTCCACATCCATAGCATAATAGTTTCTCCGTTTTCATTGGACGGGAGATAGTAACCCTAGATCTCTTTCTCTCTGTTTCCTTTTTCGTGTTCCTGTTTATTTATTTTATTCATGTTCAATGGTGGCGAAAAACGAAATGTCTGTCTGGGTTTTTAAGGAAAATGAAATATTTTGGTTAATTTTCTGAAAGGTTCATATGTAAATTGGTTTCATGTAGGCCATTAACTAAGAGCGGAGAAAAACGAAGTGGCTTTTTTGCTAGTTTTGAAGAGAAAAGGGAATATTTTTAGTTGGAAGGCCTGATTTTTGTGTAATTTTGGTTGTGGATAAATTGCTCCTGGTTTTGAAGGGAAAGAAAGGAGAGAACTTGGGCTGTTAAAGGCTTGTTTTTTTGTTTTTAATGGAAGGAGGGCTGGCTGGAAACACTGCTCTGCCAAATTCATTTGATAAATCTGAAGTTTTGGATGTAAAGCCACTTCGATCCTTGCTTCCTGTATTCCCAGGGGCAAACCTTTCGCGAATGCACCTCCTAATGGTCCCTTCCCGTCTGGTTTTTCACCGTTTCCCCCATTTGGTCAGCCACAAGGATCCCCATATACACCTGTCCTTAACCAAAATCCCTTTAGTTCAACTGCTGTGCCGATTCGATCATTTAGCACAGAACTACCGGCTTCTAATGGTGGAAATGTGCATAGCAGTAATAAACGCAAATTAGCTGGGTCGAGTTCTGTTAAAAAGAATGTGAAGAGGGGCAATGAATCAGAATTGGCATTAGCTGCCCTTAGTAATTTCAAACCTGGAATCAGTGCGGCTGAAAAAGATGATGGTAATAGGGAATTGGTTGAAAATGTGCTTATGAGGTTTGATGCGCTTAGAAGGAAGCTTAGCCAAATGGAAGATTCAAGGGAACCACATTCTGAAGTTTTTTAGTGTGCAAACTTGAAAGCAGGCAACATATTGTCTACAAAAGGGGTGCGAACTAATGGAAGAAAGCGAATAGGGGTTGTTCCCGGTGTTGAAATTGGGGACATCTACTTCTTCCGAATGGAGTTGATTTTAGTGGGAGTGCATGCTCAGTCCATGGCTGGAATTGACTTCATGCCAATGAAGGGTAGTGATATAGAGGGAGAACGAGTGGCTGTAAGCATAGTTTCATCTGGAGGGTATGAAGATGATGCTGAAGATCCTGATGTTTTGGTGTACACTGGTCAAGGTGGGAATGCCAGTGCCAATAAAGAAGCATCAGATCAGAAGCTTGTGAGGGGAAATTTTGCTTTAGAAAGGAGTTTGCACCGAGACAATGAAGAGTCATTCGAGGTTTCAAGGATCCTACACACACAACATCTAAGGTGTATGTATACGATGGTCTTTTCAAGGTCCAAGAGTCATGGATAGAGAAGGGTAAATCAGGTTGTAATATGTTCAAATATAAATTAGTAAGGATCCGTGGTCAGACTGGTGTTTTTTCCACATGGAAATCCATTCAGAAGTGGAGAGCAGATATGTCTTCGAGGGAAGGACTTATTCTTCCGGACCTCACCTCAGGTGCGGAAAGCACCCGGTCACACTTGTCAACGAGGTTGATGACGAAAAGGGGCCTGCTTATTTTACATATGTCTGTTGTTAAATATCCAAAACCATCCAAATTAGTGCAACCTTCCGTTGGATGTAATTGCAGTGATGCATGCCAACCGGGAAATTCAAACTGCTCCTGCAATCAAAAGAACAGTGGTGATTTCCCTTACATTGGCAATGGGGTTCTAGTGTGTCAAAAACCTATGATTTATGAATGCGGTTCCTCATGCCCATGCACTCGTAACTGCAAAAATAGAGTTTCACAGACTGGTTTTAGAGTTCGCTTTGAAGTTTTTAAGACGAGAGATAGGGGTTGGGGTCTGCGGTCATGGGACCCTATTCGTGCAGGTACATTTCTTTGTGTATACGCAGGAAGTTATTGAAAACGTTGAGGGGCAGGGTGGGGAATATGGTGAAAACAATGATTATGTTTTTCATACAAATCGAGTGTATGAATCATTCAGGTGGAATCACGAAACAGAGTCAGCAGGAGAGGGAATTTCTAACACCAGTGAAACTTTTGATATTCGATCTCCTTTAGTCATAAGTTCTGAAGATACTATTTTTTTCTCAATTTTCTATTATTATTATTTATTATTATTATTATTTTATATATTATTATTATTATTATTTTATTTATTATTATTAAAATTATTATTATTACAAACAGGCCAAGTTCGGCCCAACCCAGACGAGCCCAGTTACAAGAGACCAAGCTCAGACCCATCAGGAAACCCTAAAATTAATTTAGGGTTTCTATATCATCATCCAACCGCCTCAGCATCACAGCCGTTGGATCTGAGAGATCCAACGGCCCACACTCATCCAAAACAAACCCTAGGGTAATGATACCCTAGGGATCACGCGGCCGCCGTTCGCCAGCCTTTGCTACCACGCTGCCACGACGCCAACCGAAGGATCCAGAAGGCCAAGCCACAGCCGCACACGTTGCCCTCAACGGTGAGTCACCACTGGAAGTTCGGTGACTCACCAAACTCTACTCTTTTACCCGGTCCGAGACAAGCGCCGGTGATGGCTATAAAGCCACCACCGAACCTGCAAAGAAAAACAGAGGCAACCAACAGCCACGGCAACCAACAGAGAGCAACAAAAAAAGGACCGAAAACAACAAAAGACAGAGAGCAAAAACAACACAAAACCGAGAACCAACAACGAAAAATAAACCGAGAGAGGAGAGAAACTTACCACGACCATTGGAGCCCTCCAAAACGTCGTCGAACCGTTAAAATACCGAAGGTATTATCTTTAGATCTAGGAAATACTATGGGGTTTTAGGAGAAAAGGATACCAGATTTGGCTTTAGGGTTAAAAGAGCTTTGATTTGGTATGATTTTGTAAATTTCGACCACTGTTCACGGTGGCCGGCGGCGATGGTCGGCACCGGAGCACGGTTGCCGGCCGGAACTTTAATCCCTCCGATGAGGGAAAATAGAGAGAGGCGAGAGAGAGTTATAAAACTCTCTCTGTTAGAGAGAAAAAAGAAAGAAAAAATGGGAGAGCTGGCCTGAAGGGCCAGTCGTTTGGGACTTAAATAGCCCTCCCCGAACGACGCCGTTTTGGGGAGGGGTCTGTCTGTAATTAATTAAAAGTTAAACCCTTTCCACAGCCATCCTAATTTGTAATCCTTACATTTTAGTCACTAAATCAATTTATAATCCTTTTAATTCGGTTCTTTAATTTTAATTTTATTTATTTTAGTCCTTTATATTAAATAATATATTTAGGATAAATAACATATTTAGTCCTTTAATTTTAATAATTAATATTTTAAACCCCGAACATCATATTTCAATTTATTTTAATTTGATATATGAATTTTATATAATTTTAGTTTAGTCACTAAATTAATAAATAAGAAAAATAACATGTTTAGTCACTCAAATTTTAAATAATTAATTATGAATTAGGTATTTAATTCTATTAAGTTACAATTTAGTCACTAATTTCAATTTTTATTTATATAGTTTTAATTTTGTTCATTATATGTTAATTTTATATGTTTACTTTTAATTATTATTACTATTATTATTATTATTATTATTATTATTATTTAGCCATAAATATATATATTTATAATATTTATTTTATTTATTAAAATCTTATTACTTTTAATTTATTTTAATCTTGTTTTAATATTTATTTATTTTTCAATATTAAGAAAGGATAGTCTTAAAATAACTGGATGTCCATTTTCTGATATTTTTAAATAAATAAATTTTATAAATTATATATTAATTGTTTTAATTATTTTTTTAATATCGAATAAAAGAGCTGTCTTAAGGTACCTAGAAGTCATTTTATTATATTTATAAATAAATAAATATTTTATTAATAAATATTTTTCATAATTATAATTTTAAAATAATAGGATTATAAATTAAATATATTTTGAATTTTTAATTTCTAATAATAGAGATAATTTATAATTAAAAAGTACCAATTTTGGGCGTTGTAGGGGTGCTAATCCTTCCCTAAACGTAACCGACCATGAATCCCTTTTTATTTCTAAAAAGAATGAATTTTTGGTTAAAACACATATCAGTTTATCTTTTAACTGATGTTTTCTTAAAAACTCTTTTAAAAGATAATTTTTTAGGTATTCGACCTACCTGACCCAAAAGGCCGATGGCGACTCCCAAATTATTTTAAACCATTTATTCACATCACATTTTCCCTCCAAATAAATATTTCGTGCCCGGACGAAAATCGGTTACAACAGCTTGGCGACTCCGCTGGGGATCACTGGTCATGCTTTGAAATTAATTATAAATTGTCTCTATTAATTAGAAATTAAAAATTTATTTATTTAATTTTTAATTCTTTTTTTTCAAAATTTTTATTACTTATGATTTTCATAATATTTATTATATTTTTTATTTTTACTTAATTGTTTGTCAGAGGTTTGAACATTTCTCTTCACACACAACACTTGCATTGCATAACATAAAGCTTTTTAATTAAGCTTGTCCCTTTTTAAGTGGGAGTGAAAGCGACGTCTTCGTGAGAATTTATTCTCCGTGTCAGACCTAGCAAGTAACTTTCAGGGTTCATATGCTCTATGTCTTCGTGAGAATTTATTCTCCGTGACAGGCATAGAGAAGTGTATCCCCTCGAATTGAACTCGATCCGCTTAAGTTTGTAATGGAATATGATTGGGGGTTTGATAGCCCAAGGGGCATCAACAAGGACAGTTCGAGTACCTTTACTCTTAGAACTGAAAACCTGCATATAATAAACCCTAGAAACTCTTCCGATCTGAAACCATGCCAGTAGGAATACACAAAGGAAAAAAATAAGCTCTAGCTTTTAATTTATTTTATTTCCTTTTCTTTTTCCTGAATAAATGCATGCGAACTAGAAATCATGCGGTTAGGTTAAATTTTCCAAACAAAACATGGAACTAGAAAGCATGAGGTTAAGATTTATACCTTGATAAATAGATTTTTTTCCATTAGTTGGTACTAACTATTCTATTTTTTCTTATTTTTTTTTCATGCATGTTACATTGCTCTAATTTGTTTATATTTGATTTCTTTTGTTTGCATTACATGATCATGGCATAACCAAAAGGTGTTTACTGGAAAGACTATTCATCATATTGGAAAGAAATCGTAAATGGACAAAAAGTTTTATGATCAAACAAAATATGATGCGGCCAAGGAAAGACATCCTGAAGAAACTACGAGGATCAAGGGAAGTTCTGTACATAGAGAACCGGTTATATTAATACCAAAAGTACTCCACAAAGATCCTGCCAGATTGATACCAAAAGCAGTCTATGGTAAGAGTATCAGTAGGGACATTCAGAGTAGTGGAGGTTTTTATGAAGCTCAAGCATGTTATTTGAAGGACTTGAACGACCAAAACAAGAAATTGAGCACAGAAATGAAAACCATGCATGAAGATTTTCAGAAGATCAGTCAAGCTTTTCAAAATGCTGGCCTAGGAAGTACCCAAGAAGAATGGATCACAGGGGTCACCAAGCTGAAAAAGAACTGCAACTTATATGAAGATCTTGTTCAAGAACTTTTTGGACAGAAATGTTCTCTTACAAGGGAAAATGAGCAACTCCGAGAAGTGACACAGAAGATGAAGGAGAATGTCATGGAAGAAGTTACAGTCCAGACAAGTAATATGTCCCTTAAGCTGATAGACTAATTTGGCTTTGGAAAAGTTAGGAATGAAATATATCCCTATATGTAAAGTTTTGTTTGATGTACCGAAACTTTTGCGTTCAATGAAATCTGTTCTAAGATGATCACTCTTAAGTAACACCTTTTCATACATGCATTTGTATTTTACATTTGTACATTTTTATGTTTGTATTTACATTTACATTTTTAAACCTACATCATGCATTAAAACATATTTAATTAAATAATAATGTTTATTTATTTTCAATATCAAAGAAAATGGCAGTCTTAATAAAACTGGATGTTCTATTCTGGTATTTTAAATAATTTACATTTACATGTTTACAATTGCATATTTACATTTGGCATCTTTGCATTTGTATTTTTATGTTTGCTTTTGTATTGCACAATTTGTATTCTTATTATTACATTCACATATTTACATTTGCATTTGGTATCTTTGCATTTTTTATGTCATAATACGTTAAAACATTCATTCATTAAAATAAGGATTTCAAACGAAGTGATCTTGGTTTTTCCTTGAAGCAAGAACGCTCAGCACGACACAAGAAAAATGTCTAAAGAAATTGAGGATAGGCTAGCCAAATTTGAGATAGAACAGAAAGAAATACAAGAGGAATTGAGGAGCAAGTTGGCACAAATTGAAGCTAATATCACAAATTCTCATATCGATCTACTGAACAATATGAAAGAAATGATTGAGAAGCACCAGACAGCTGGAAAGAGTCTTGTTGAAAACCCCACAAATTCTTTGGGTGTTACACCTGTTCATATTCCTGAGTTCACCTCTATACCCCATGAAATTCAATCACCAATTTACTTTGTTGTTAAGAACTCACCATATCAAGCTGGAGCATCATTCCCCACTGATTGTCCTACTACTTCTGAGTTGAAGCCTGATGAATTTTGTATTATTAATGAGGTCCTTGACCTAAACAAATTAGTTGAGAAGGAAAAATTCACTCAACGACTGGAAAATATAGAAGAGGTGAGAAAATCTATAGAGACAGTTGAGTCATTTTATGGGTTTGATGCCAAAGAACTAAGTTTGGTCCCTGGCCTGGTTATTCCACCAAAGTTCAAGGTTCCAGATTTTGAAAAGTATAATGGGACCACATGCCCTTCATATCATATCACTATGTATTGTCGTCGTATGACTGGCTATATAGAGAATGAAAAGTTGTTGATCCACTGTTTCCAAGACAGTTTATCTGGGTCTGCATCCAGATGGTATAATCAGCTAAAATGTACTCAAATGCGTTCTTGGAGGGATTTAGCTCAAGCTTTTTTGGGTCAATACAAGCACATGACTGATATGGCCCCTGATCGAACAATGTTGCAAAGCATGAATATGAAGTGCAATGAA